GACCATAGGTGACTGGGGCAACCAGATTCTTGCTCCTAGGAATCAGGCACTGAGACACCCAGGCCAGTCTCCCTGGAGGGCTTCAGTTGGGAGAGGTACAGAATTAACATTAATTAACATGGCCTGGCCAGCCACGTTTGCCTACATGAATGGAAAAGCCAAGGAAGCCAGGCTGCAGGGAAAGGAGAGTGAAGAAGATACACAAGAAAATGCTAAAAAGAGCCAGATGAGGTGGCTCAGGCCTGTAATCCCAGCACTTTAGGAGGCTGCGGTGGGTGGATTAAGCGGTCAGGAGTTTATGACCATCCTGGCCAACATGGTGAAACCGTGTCTCTACTAAAAAAATACAAAAATTATCCAGGTGTGGTGGCTTGAACCTGTAATCCCAGCTACTCGGGAGGCTGAGGCAGGAGAATCATTTGAGCCTGGGAGGCAGAGGTTGCAGTAAGCCGAGATCGTGCCATTGCACTCCAGCCTGGGCAATAGAGACTCCATCTCAAAACAAACAAACAAAAAAAACAACAACAAAAAAACAGGCTAAGAAGAGAAGCTGCACAGTCCAAGAGAGGGCACTGGGAGTTACCTCTGACCCCAGTGAACTGCCAGACCCTGGTACTAATTCCTTCTGAGGCTCCGCTCGGCTTCACTTCCTGCCCTGGGATTCTCAGAGTGCCTTACATTCCCCAAAAGTCTCCGCAGGTCCTGCCTATCGATTTGCTTTTTGCTTAAACTCTTTTGAGCGGATTTGTCTTTCTCAGTCTAAAAGACAAATGCAATGATCATGCATTCCAGAGGCTTCCTGAAAGAGAGGCTGGAGCTGTTTCACATACTCCATCTGAAAAAGCCCATAGTATTCTTATCTGGAGTTCAAAGAGGTTACTAATACCAGGAGAAAGGGTAAAAATTAGCTGTGGGAAAAGACATCTTCTACATTTCCCAGAGATAAGAGGATGAGTATGTAAATTATGGTATGTGGATCTGATGTATTTGCTGATATATTATCAGTCAAAGTCATTGTTCTGAAGACCTATGTTTCAATATGGAAACACAGAAGGGTACTATATAAAATAAGCATACAAATAAATTGGTAAGCTGAGGCAGGCAGATCACTTGAGGTCAGGAGTTTGAGACTAGTCTGGCCAACATGGTGAAACCCCGTTTCTACTTAAAATACAAAAATTAGCCAGGAGTAGTAGTGCATGCCTGTAATACCAGCTACTCAAGGGGCCAAGGCAGGAGAATCCCTTGAACCCGGGAGGCTGAGATGAGGTTGCAGTGAGCCAAGATCATGCCATTGCACTCCAGTCTGGACGACAGAGCAAGACTGTTTGTTTTTCTTTTGCAAAACAAACAAACAAAACATAAAAATACAGAACTACGTCTGCTATGATTATAACCGCTATTAGGTAAAAATTATGTATCGAGAGGGCACCATCAAAATAGTAATAGCCACCACTGGATTTCTCAGTGATGATTTTCTTGGTTTGTTTTTGTTGAGACAGAGTCCCACTCTGTCGCCCAGGCTGGAGTGCAGTGGCACAATCTCGGCTCACTGCAACCTCCGCCTCCTGGGTTCAAGAAATTTTCCTGCCTCAGCCTCCCAAGTAGCTGGGACTACAGGCGCATGCCACAACACCCAGCTAATTTTTTTTTGTATTTTTAGTAGAGACAGGGTTTCACCGTGTTAGCCAGGATGGTCTCAATCTCCTGACCTCATGATCCGCCCGCCTCTGCCTCCCAAAGTGCTGGGAGTACAGATGTGAGCCACCACACCCGGCCCTCGGTGATGGTTTTATAGGTGATTTGCTCTCCTTCCTCCAGCGTCACTCTACTGAGTTGTTAATACAATTAATATCAACACAATAAAAAATTCTGAAAAGAACTACTGTATCTCAGTACTATCTGAAGAACATCAGGATTTAGAGAACTGATGATTTTTCCTGTTGTTCTGGGAGTCAGCTGGCCTTGTAGTTAATCTAGCTCAAACTTATTCCAATGGACATGGCTAAGGATCTGATGTGAAGGGGTGGAGAAACGTCAAAAAGCAAGTTTATTTGCTGCGTAAATGCCTACTTCAGAAGGTGGACGTGACTGCTAACTTCAGGTGGGACGAGTACCTAGTGCAGTGCTTGGCATATAGTCAGTGCCAGGAAATATGCAGTCAATCCTTATCACTCACGATTCCATATTTGTAGATTTGCCTCCTCATTAAAATTGATTTTTAACCTTAATACTGGCAGTGCTTTTTCTTTATTGATTTTTAACCTTAATACTGGCAGTGCTTTTTCTTTATTGATTTTTAACCTTAATACTGGCAGTGCTTTTTCTTTTCCTTTTTCTTTCTTTTTTTTTTTTTTTGGAAACAGTCTCGCTGTTGCCCAGGCTGGAGTACAGTGGTGTGATCGTGGCTCCTCGCAACCTTTATCTCTGGGGTTCAAGCGATTCTTGCACCTCAGCCTCCCAAGAGTCTAGGATTACAGGCACACGTCACCCACCCAGCTAATTTTTGTATTTTCAGTAGAGAAGGGGTTTTGTCATGTTGGCCAGGCTGGTCTTGAACTCCTGGCTCAAGTGATCCACCCGCCTCAGCCTCCCAAAGTGCTGGGATTACAGGTGTGAGCCAATTGGTGACCATTTTCAATAGTAAAATCACCAGCCTAAAGCAAAAACGTGGCAGTAAATAGGTCACAATAAGGACATTTGTTTAAAGAGCGAAACAGGAGGGCTCAGTGTCACCTTGCTTGACCACAGGAATGTGCGTGGCAGGTGACTTCATTTTTTGCTGTTGTGGGCATGTCTACTAATGACCTCAAAAACACTCTAGGCCAGGTGCAGTGGATCACCTGAGGTCAGGAGTTCAAGACCAGCCTGACCAACATGAAGAAACCCTGTCTCTACTAAAAATACAAAAATTAGCCGGGCATGGAGGCGCATGCCTGTAATCTCAGCTACTTGGGAGGCTGAGGCAGGACAATCTCTTGAACCCAGGAGGCAGAGATTGCAGTGAGCCAAGATCGTGCCATTGCACTCCAGCCTGGGCAACAAGAGTGAAACTCCGCCTCACACAAAAAAAAAAAAGAAAGAAAAAAAGAAAAGAAAATGGTCACCAAGTATAGTGCTGAAATGTTCTCTAGCGTTTCTAAGCGTGAGAAGGCTGTGATGTGCCTTGTGAAGAAATTACATGTGTGTGATCAGCTTTAAGACGGGAGTCACATTACCGTTGTGGCCCTGAGTCCAATGTTAATGATCAACAATATATGTTAATGTGTCTTTAAACAGAAATACACATAAACAATGTTATGTACTGATCGGTTGACAAAAATGTTGTGAACAGAGTCTCACAGCAACCGAATTCTGTATTTCCCCTAGGAGTGATGGTTTGGTATGTGCTAACGAGTGTCAGCAGTGACTTACAGAACGTAACTACCACGGTTAATGAGAATCAGCTGTAAATGTGGAACAGGCAGGAGGACCGTTCTTACTGAGCTAACTTTTAATAACAAGAGTCTCCGCCAGCTGGCAAGAAAGCTGCTTGTCCAATTTAAAAATAGCTTGGTAAATCCACAAAGGGTGCCAGATAAATTCTGGAGCAAGTCCAGAATTTATTGTTGTAGGCTGCAAAGAAATATCTCTTCAAGTAGATCCTGGTGGAGCTGTGCTATCCAACACAAAAAAACAAAAATACATCACAAAACAGTTCATTTTGTTACATACACGTATGTGTAATTATAGGTCTATCGCAGAGAAAAATGGTGTAGAATGACATACAAAATGTTAACAGGATTGGCTCTGAAAGCTTTTTTTTTTCCCTGACAAATGCTGAAAGGCATATAGAAGAAAGCCTGAATGGTAAATATGCAAGAAAACAATATACTATCGGAAGTCCCATTGCCACCAAGTGGCTACTGAATACCTAAAAAGTGGCTAACTCAAACAGAAATGTGCCAGAAGTGTAAAATATGCACTGGGTTTCAAAGATGGAGTATGAAAAAGAAGGTAAAATGTCTCAAGAACATTTTTTAATTAATAATTTTGTATAAATGATTACATGTTGAAATAATATTTTGGATATATTAGGTTAAATAAAATACATTATTGAAATTATTATTACTATTATTATTATTATTATTATTTTTGGAGACAGAGTCTCACTAGCTCTGTCACCCAGGCTGGAGTGTAGTGGCACAGTCGTGGTTCACTGCAACCCTCGCATTCCAGGTTCAGGTGATTCTCCCACCTCAGCCTCTTGAGTTACTGGGACTACAGGCGCTCACCACCATGCCTGCTAATTTTTGTATTTTTAGTAGAGACGGGGTTTTACTGTGTTGGCCAGGCTTGTCTCGAACTCCTGACCTCAAGTGATCTGCCTGCCTAGGCCTCCCAAACTGTTGGGCTCACAAGTGTGAGCCACCATGCCCAGCCAAAAGTAATTTTACTTATCCCTTTTTACTTCTTAAATGTGGCTACTAGAAAATTTTAAATTACATACGTGGCTCACATCATATTTCTATTGGACCTGGATTCCTGGTGGAACACAGAACTCATATCTTGAAGTAGGCTTTCCTCTCTCATTGTTAGGGTAACAGGGCAAAAATCACAACAAAACAACAAAAAAGGATGATATCTGTGGCACAGACTTCTTTATCCAGCTAAACAACTGCATTTGTCACTAGTGGCAAATGACTCATTTTTGGCTTAAGAGATGTAATTGGAAGTATTGTGTGTGACTCCCAGGAAGTCTCCTTAAATTGGAGGTCGCTTGCACAACACTTTCTCCTCAAATCCTGCTGCCTGCAACATGGATGCAATGGCTGATGCTCTTGCTGTCATCTCAGACAATGAGTTTGAAGGTCCCAGCATAGACATGGCAGGGTGGTAAGCTAGAAAGATTCCTGACTTACCTCCAAATTTCTTCTACTGGAGAAAGAAATAACATTCTATCTTGTTTACGCTAGTGTTAAATAGGGATTTTCCATTGCATGTAGTGATTGGAAACTGACCTTTGGGTTATTCTGGAAGAACTCTATCAGCAAACACAGCTTCTTCTGCAGCTCCTGCAAGTCCCTTGAGATACTCCGGGGCTCCTCTTTTGCCATCCTGAAGCTCACTTCAATGTCCTTGGGGATTATTTTTCCTACCAGTAAATTACCCAGTGCAGCGCTGGTCCAGTCTCTCAGGTTGCCCTGTCTCTTGCTGTTACCAGAGGAAACAAAAGTTGTTAGTGGCCCTTATCAAACTGGTTCAGTAAGAGCTTCTACTATTCTCATGCCTTGATGGCGGGCATGCAGATTGAGGGTAACCTGGCAATATTCACAACAATTTCAGATTGCACACACTTCAATCCAGGAATTGATCTTCCAGGAACATGACGGAAATAATCAAACAGGTATCTCAAAATGTACCAAAAGGCTGTGCACCATGTCCCTGTTTATAACCTATAATGACTAGCAAAACATTGGAAAGCTACCTGTATTTCCATTAGGAGAAAATGGATTAAATAATGAAAAATTCAGTCATTAAAATGATGGTGCGACTGTTTAGTGATGTGAAAAGATGTTTATGATACTTTTTTTAAAAAAAAACGACAAAATGTTAACAGTAGTATCTCTGAGAGCTTATGTTTATTTTTTAGCTTCACAAAATGCTGAAAATATACAGAAAGTAAGAGAGCTGAATAAACAATTTCGAATCTCATTGCCTTTTATTTTCCCTAGAAAGTTTTCTTGTACAACAGCAGGCTTGTTGTCTTCTTTATTACTGCACAGGTTGGCTCCCAATTCTATCCTCGCAGACACCATCAGTTTATTTACTTGTGGGTAGGTCTGTCCTTGCTAAGGAGAACTGCGTCTCCCGGCCAGACCTCACCACAATAATTATACTCTAACTAAATTGCCTGGAATTTCCAGAGCTGTCCCAATCTCACACAATTTTTACTTGTTTTTAATAAAGGTAGTTGGTTAAATTAGATATATTTTTTAACTCTTGTTTTCAAATATAAAAAAATTAATTTTATTTTATATTTCCCAGAACTGGCTGGACACAGAGATATCTTTTCCATTTCTCCGTATAAACTGACCTCCTGATCTACAGTACAAATGTTTAAAAGGTTCTGTCCACATGGCCAAAATTAATTGAAAGATCTTCACATTTATCATATTGAATATCACACATGCTAACTGCATTCATTACAGAGGGTAATTTTTTTTTTTTTTTTGAGATGCAGTCTCGCTCTGTTTCCAGGCTGGAGTGCAGTGGCGAGATCTCAGCTCATTGCAACCTCCACCTCCCGGGTTCAAGCGATTCTCCTCCCTCAGCCTCCCGAGTAGCTAGGACTGCAGTCACGGCCACAACGCCCAGCTAATTTTTGTATTTTAGTGGAGACGGGGTTTCACTATGTTGGCCAGGATGGTCTTGATCTCTTGACCTCATGATCCGCCCGCCTCGGCCTCCCAAAGTGCTGGGATTACAGGCGTGAGCCACCGCTCCCGGCCCAGGGGGTAATTTTATCTACTACTAAGATGTATAGGGTCTAGTATGCAAATTAAAACACATTTTAATCATCCCAGCTAGACATCCTCTGCTACTTCCCTTTTGTAAAACAAGAAACCCTTTGGAGGGAGAGGTTGAGGAGGGGACTAATCCCCCCACCTAACATTCTCTCTGAAGCGGCCTCGTACATCTTGAATTTGGGATGTTTCCTGCACTCAGTTCCCCTACTCTCATTTCTGCAGCAACCAGAAACAAGCCCAATTCCCCTTACAGGCCCAACTCTCCTTCGGCCTAGGAGCCTCAAGTGCCACCCAGACAGGTCTGGGGAGTCCAACGGGGGATGAGTGGGGAGAATGCCATCGGTCACAGCCTTCAAATGCGTCTACCTGGCCACCAATTCCCAGACCCCTTGGCTACTCACTCCTCGGAGGAGCCTCCCCAGGCACGGAGCTGTCTCCTGAGAAGGGAAAGTGTGGACCCTGCGCGGCCAAGGGGTGCCCCGCCCTCTCCACGCCTGGGGGACTAGGCCAGGTCAACACCAGCCAACCCTCTTCCAAGTCTCCAAATAAATCCCTTGGCTCTCACACCCTAGCACCTCCAGGGGCAAACGGCTATCTCGAACGTTCTAAATGGGAGGAGGGGATCACATCTCCGGTTGGGGGATGGGAGCTGCAGGGTGACTCAAGCTTACCTGGCCGCCCCCTCGCCATCTGAACCTAGGCTTTCAGCCTCCAAAAGCCAGGAAGACCCCAGGAGAGGAGGAAGGAAGTGAAATGCAGATGGAGAGGGGGTCCGCGCCCCAGAAGGCACAGAGGCCGAGTAATGGGAACTCAGCGGGGAGTAGAGTACTTTGTTATTAATTTGGGGGAGAAGCCTCCTTTGATACTTGCAGATCTCTTTGCAGTGAACGGGAAGAAGACCTCGGTGGAGAAGAGGGGCTGGGTGGTGAGGAGGGCGCCCGTTTTCAATAATCCTAGTGAGGTTTGCCTCGACGTATTCCCTTCCAGGTTCCCCAGGAAGGGGCACAGTCTCGGGGTGTGGTGGTGCTAGCCACCAGTTAATCTCTTCTAGCGGTAATGTGTGTGTGTATTTAGGGGTGGGGAGGAATCGTGTCTCCTCGTGCGCTCTCAGCCCGGTTCCAGTGACTCACAGGCAGGAAACGGCCCTTACACTAACCCCGGGACAGAGGGTTACGGGCGTGGGACCCCGATCGCGCGCTCACGCCGTCGCTCTCGCGCTCCTCCGCTGTCCCGGTCCGGCGAGGGGGCTCTAGCCAGCCGGGGTCCCCGGATCCCCACTCCCAAGCTCCCAGCTCTCACCTGCTCCTGGCGGCCAAGCAGCCCCCACCGCGTTTGCAGGAGGAGCGAAGAAAGGCGGGAGGAACGAAGAGAGGCAGGAGGAGGAGCAAGAGGAGGAAGGAAAGAGCGTCCGGGGAAGGAGCCACGGCCGCCTGCCTCCGCCCCCCAGCCCGGGCACCGCCCCTCAGCTCTGCCTCGCTGGGCTCGCCCCGCCCGCGGCCGGAAGGAGCCGGTAAAGGCGCGCCAAGGCCCCGCGCCCAGGCTGGTGCAAAGCGCGCGCCACACAGTGGCTTTCGGAGTCCCTGGGACAAGCCCCCAGAGGTTGACAGATGAGGAAACTGAGGCTCAGAGAGTGTCCCTTCCCGCACTCCAGGCTTGAAGAAAGCTCAGACCACCTTCAGGACAGGCAGACTGGCCGCCGAGAGTGAGTTTTCGAAGGGTCTCAGGGTTTCCCCTCCTGTATACCCAAAACCAGCTGCTCTGGAACGTCTCTGGAGCTCAAGACACACACATGATGAAGTACCGCCCTGGCTGGAAGTTTTGTTTTGTTTGTTTGTTTTTGTTTTGAGTCGGAGGCTCGCTCCGTCACCCAGGGTGGAGTGCAGTAGCGCCATCTAGGCTCACTGCAACCTCCGCGTCCCGGATTCAAGCAATTCCCCTGCCTCAGCCTCCCAAGTAGCTGGGATCACAGGCATGCCCCACCACGCCCAGCTAATTTTTTTGTATTTTTAGTAGAGACGGGGTTTCGCCATATTGGCCAGGTTGGTCTCGTACTCCTGACCTTGTGATCCACCCGTGTCAGCCTTCCAAAGTGTTGGGATTACAAGCGTGAGCCACGGCTCCCGGCCCCTGGCTGGAAGTTTTTAACCATGACTCCTCAAATGCAAATGTCATAAGCCAGTGAGATCCTTCCAGATGGATTAGATTAGTATCTCCATTTTACAGATGAAAAAAATCCAGGCTGAGAGAGACAAGATAAATCCACCTAAATTCCTCAGTTTGTAAGGATCCAAGTTGGAGCAGGAACTCGTGTTTCACCTGGCCCCAAATCTTAGAGCAAGGTTTCTCAATAGTAAGCTATTGACCTTTGGGGTGGGATAATTCTGTGTTTCTGAGCTGTACATTGTAGAATGTTTAGCAACATCCTGGCCTCTTCCCATCAGTTGCCAGTTACAAGAACCCCCCCACCTCCAGTTATGTCTCAAAATATTGTCAAATGTCCCCCCGGGAAGCCCCATCATCCCGAGCTGAGAACCACTGGTAACTTACTATGTGACCCAGTAACCTCTCTGAACCATGGCTTCAACCATAAATTAGGGAGAAGGATAAGCCCAGCCACTGGTCTGCTGTTGCTCAGGTCTCAGCCACTTTCCAGACAGGGACCTGTGTTGACCGACCCCTCCTCTGTGCCTGTGGCCATAGCAACCTGGAGAATAAGTCTTTAGATAAAGAAAAGCTGACAGAGCACAGTGGCTCACACCTATAATCCCAGCACTGTGGGAGGGTGAAGTGGGTGGATCGCTTGAGGCCAGGAGTTCCACACCAGCCTGGCCAACATGGCGAAACTCTGTCTCTACTAAAAATACAAAAACTAGCTGCGCATGGTGCCACCCACTCATCATCCCAGCTACTCAGGAGACTGAGGCAGAAAAATCACTTGAACCCAGGAAGTGGAGGTTGCAGTGAGCTGAGATCATGCCACTGCACTCCAGCCTGGGTGACAGAGTGAGACTGTCTCAAAAAAAAAAAAAAAAAAGAGAGAGAGAGAGAGAGAAGCAGTCACAGGGTGGTAGTGAGGACTGGTGCAAAAGTGACTGTCAAGAGCTTAACAGCTAAAGTAGGGGCTCAAAAATATTTGCTGGTATTATTACATCTACTACCTAATATTTCTGGAAATAATCAGGCTAATGGATAGAGAAATAAGCTTGGGATGATGGTTGATGATGATGATAATGATGATAAAGAATCCTGCCATAATTCTTCCACAACAGCAAAAAAGAAGAGCTAATGGCGGTTATAGGACAGACAAGAGTCCTTAAATTCTTAAGTTTCAGCCATCATGTTTGGCTTCATGCACTTTGTTCAGCTGCAAAATGATGGGTTCCTCACCCAGGAAAAGATACGTGTGTGTGTGTCTGTGTGTTTTCCCTGGGAAAAGATAGTTTGTGTGTGTGTGTGTGTTTTCCCTGGATGGATGTTGGAAATCAGAATTGGGGTTTCCACTGGGATTTTTGTTTAAGGGTGCCATCTAGGGGTGTCTGTGTGAATCTTCGAATTCCTCCCACTTCTGGCATTTTTGCTGAGCCAGCAGGGTTTTGGTTTTCCTTGTGTGATAGCTGCTTCCTCCACCTCATCATGTGTTCCTTCAGGGTTGGGATCCTAGAATCTCTTCATAGCATCAGGACTTGGCTCTCAAGGAACATGCAATGGTTGGGTAAAATGAATCCATGTGCAGCCTCTCCTGTGTCTTCCCAATTACTTGCTACAATGGACGGAATATTTGTTCCTCTAAAATCCAGATGTTGAAATCCTAACACCCAATGTGATGGGATTAGGCATGGGGCCTTTGGGAGGTGATCACGTCATGAAGGTGAAGCCTTCCTAAATGGAATTAGTGCCCTTATAAAAGAGATCCCAGTTGGCCGGGTGCAGTGGCTCACACCTATAATCCTAGCACTTTGGGAGGCCGAAGTGGGTGGATTGCTTGAGTCCAGGAGTTTGAGACCAGCCGGGGCAACATGGTGAAACCCGTCTCTACTAAAAATACAAAAGTTAGCTGGGCATAGTGGCAGATGCCTGTAGCCTCAGCTACTTGGGAAGCTGAGACAGGAGGATCTCTTGAGCACAGGCAGTTGAGGCTGCAGTGAGCTGAGATCATGCCACTGCACTCCAGCCTGGGCAACAAAGTGAGACCCTGGCTCATTAAAATAAAATAGATTCCAAAGAGCTCTCTTACCCGCTTTCTACCATGTGAGGATATAATGAGAAGTTGGCTGCCTGCAACATGGAAGGAAGCCTTCATGGGAACCAGACCATGCTGGCACCCTGATTGTGAACTTCCAGCCTTCAGAGCAGTGAGAAATAAATGTCTATTGTTTATAAGCCGCCCAGACTTTGGTACTTTGCTATAGTAGCCCCTAAGTATTGAAACTCTTGCTCTGCTTAAACAACTATTTTAGGCCTCAGGAAAGAGATGCTAGGAACACCAGCCTCTGAATAAGCAATGCACAAAAATTCTAGCACTTTGAGAAGCCAAAGTGGGTGAATTGCTTGAGTTCAGAAGTTCGAGACCAGCCTGGACAACATGGTGAAACCTCATCTCACCTAAAAACATAAAAGATAGCCAGGCATAGTGGCACATGCCTATAGTCCCAGCTACTTGGGAGGCTGAGGCAGGAGGATTTTTTTGAGCCCGGGCAGTCGAGGCTACAGTGAGCTGAGATCACGCCCCTGCACTCCAGCCTGGGCAACAAAGCGAGACCCTGGCTCATTAAAATGAAATGAAATGAAATAAAATAAAATAGATCCCGGAGAGCTCTCTTACCCTCTTTCCACCATGTGAGAATACAGTGAGAAGTTGGCAGCTGTAACAGGGAAGGGGGCCTTCACTGCAACCAGACCACCTTGGGGACAACTTGAAACCTCACTGACCTCTCCTCCCCATGTTGGCAGATTTGGCAAATAAAAACACAGGACACTCAGTTAACTCTGAATTTCAGGTAAATAACGGGTAACTTTTTAGTACATGTACAGCCCATGTATTGAATGGGACATGCTTATACTAAAACATTCTTTTACCTGAAAAATTGCTTAACTGAAATTCTAATTAACTGGGCACCTTGTGTTTTGTCTGGCAGCCATATGAGCTTGGAGTTGAACAGATTGAGAAAGGAGGTGGGTGCAGTGGCTCACGCCTGTAATCCCAGCACTGTGGGAGGCTAAGGCAGGTAGATCACTTGAGGTCAGGGTTCGAGACTAGTCTGGCCAACATGGTGAAACCCTATCTTTACTAAAAATACAAAAATCAGCTGAGTGTGTTGGTGCATGCCTGTAATCCCAGCTACTGGGGAGGCTGAGGCAAGAGAATAACTTGAACTCAGGAGGCAGAGGTTGCAGTGAGCCAAGATTGCCCCACTGCACTCTAGCCTAGGCAACAGATTGAGACTCCCATCTCAAAAGGAGGAGGATGAGCAGGTGAAAGAGGAGGAGGAGGGGGAAGGGGAGGGGGTGGAGGAGGAGGAGGAAGAGGAGGAGACGAAACTTGAAGCCTATATCCTTTCTTAAGAATTATCCAACAGAAAGTTGTCAGACAACAAACAATTCTGATACAGGTGAGGTGGCCTGGGGGAAGCCACTTTCATTCTCTTTGGCAGATATTTTATTTATTTTTCATCTTTCCTCAGATTACATGTAGGTATTTGGTTGAAGCCATGGAACAGATTTCATAATCAGGTTCAAACTTTCCTGCTGACCTAGCTGTGTGACTATGGGCAGACTAGTTTAGTGTATCGGTTTCCTCAACCATAAAACTTGTGATAATACTAGTAGTCTAGGTTGTTGAGAAGATTCAAAGACATGATGTCTATTAAGTGCTTACCAGCAGTCTCAGAAGATAGTATATGCTCAATAGGTGGAAACCATTATTATTGTTTTGATAGTTTTGAATGTAAGTAGACTTAAAGAACACTAAATTTCAGATGGCGGCATGCCTCCTACTCACACACAGGCCGTAGGGTCCATTAGCTCCACATCACGCCCATTCTAATTTTATTTTTTTGAGACAGAGTCTCGCTGTGTCACTCAGGCTGGAGTGCAATGGTATGATCTCAGCTCACTGCAACCTCTGCCTCCTGTGTTCATGCAATTCCCTGCCTCAGCATCCCAAGAAGCTGGGATTACAGGTGCCCACCACCACAGCTGGCTAATTTTTTGTATTTTTAGTAGAGACAGGGTTTCACCATGTTGGCCAGGTTGGTTTCAAACTCCTGACCTCAGGTGATCCACCCGCCTTGGCCTCCCAAAGTGCTGGAATTATAGGCATTAGCCACCTTGCCCAGCCTTATTCTAATTTTTCACTTCATTGGATTACAATTGCTGTTTTTGGTTGGACATGAGATTTCACACCCGGTATAGGAGCCCTGGTCATCTCCCTATTTCTGTCTAAACCAGAGTCTCCAGCCCTCCAA